TGACTCGGTGTACGTCATCGGGTTCAAGTTGATGTGCTTCAAGATGATTGCCACGCATGGATAGAGTCCTGGGAAGGCAATTGTATCTATTAATTAGGATATTCTATGTAATTTCTTTAGAGATATGTTTGGGCAAAAGTCTGCCGTAAAGACTTATGGTATCTTAGAGTTTGTTAGAGATAATAGTCGTGTCTGTTATGGACGTATCTTGTAATTCTCGGGTATAAATAGACCCGAGCCCTATGTAAAAAAGAACAACACATCCAATACAATCTCGACGCATCGCCACACTTTATGCTTTACTTTTATTTCGACGAGTTCGTGCTCTCGGGTTGAGCTGCATCGGTTTCAATCTTCAACAAGAGGTAAAACTTGTCATGACGACTTATGTTCTCAAGATTAGTGCTTCCATCTTTATGACACTCTAATCTTGTCTATATAATTCGTCGAGTTATCATATATCTCACATAATCTTTGATAATATCTTCGTCTAACCTATAATCGGCTAACATCTGTTAATGGAAGGCAGCCGATTAGGTTAGATAATGATGTTAACTTAGACTATGTGATATATCTACCACTCTATGAAACTTCCAACGGCTTGATTGTCTAGATATTGTTTTTCTTTTCATACTTAATGCTGCATCAGTTGAGTTTGATCTATTAAGTCGTGCTTAGAATTGCAATCTCTAGCCTGCTTTCTGGTTGCTTATCAGGGTAGTATCGGAGTTTCAGCCAATCTTATCTGATTCAACTACTTTTATTCTATATGCTTGATTGACATGTTAAATCTGCCCTTTATGTTAAGATCTTGTCGCATCTAAGTATATTAAGCTTATGTTTAGTATATTCTACTTACTGTAAAATAAAATCTTAGTATAGAGTAGTATCGGAGTATTAGCCGATACATGCTAGATATACCTGATCGGCTATGCTATGAATGTATATAATCCTACTATTAATATATATTTCGATCTAAGTGATTTATATTGTCTCGGCAAGGCGACCGATCTATCCCAATCATTTAATTTAAGTATATATCGATATAAGGATTATATATCATTAATATCTACAGCCGATCGAGTAGATTTAGTTCTGGTTTGCTTATTGATATTTGTCGATCGATGTACACATGACACCGGCTTGAAATAAATGATATGTCATCGGCACCTAGCCGATCGGCTATCATTTATAGGATTAATTGCGGTTTCTTTGTTATTTCTTGTTGATTGCAAGATCAAATCAACTGGCACGCTCATACATCTAAAGGCGAGCTTTGGACCTGCACTGGAGTTAAGCAGATCTCCCAGGCCTCGTGTTTTCTGTCAACAATACTATAAAGACATTTGCCCCTTAAATTAAATAAATACATTCAGATATTATGAGAAAAACAATTGTGCAGAGATATAAAATTGTGCTAAAAGCAGCAATTACCACCCATATGAACGTACCAGCAAAGCGCATCATATCATCAACCAAAAATACCGTTCTTCTTACCACTTTCTTACTGGATAACTGAAACATTTGGTGCATATCTAAGATCAAATATGCCGTAGGCCATGACCAGCCTGGTGATTACATGGTGCAGTATTTTACAAAATAATATCATTGATCTTACATTAGCCACCCATGAGCAAGAAGAAAAAGGCAAGATTGGGATCCATGATGCATGGCGATGCCGCAGACAAACATTGGAGAGAGAGAGATAGGTCAAGGACTCAAGGTCCTTGAAGTACTCCATTATCTTAACTCGGCATTAAAGCCGATGATAGAGGTGAGAGAAGAGTGGCATCGAGTGAGGGGGTTAAAAGAAGATAAAGTGGAGGAGCGTCGAGTTAAATGCTCCTTCCGTTTGGAGAAGTGGAGGAGGCAGCCATGCGCCATTGGTTTCACTCGAGGGAGATGGAAGGAATTGTTAAATATGTGATTCTAATTTTAGGCCCACAATATATTCGGATTAGTTTTCTAGTAGAATTTTCTATTAGGTGTCTTTCTTTTATTCCTTATATATACTCTTGTAAGCCGTACGGGATCGAAGGGGTGATGTTCCCATTGTTATTCCTCTACGTTTGTAATCAACCCCTCTATAGTGACCATTGCCGGTCAGCGTCCGTGGTTTTTTTCTACAAGGGTTTTCCACGTAAAATTTATATCTCCGTTGTGCATCTATTTTCGTAATAGGAGGAAGGTGAAACGAATTAGCGAAAGATTGGGTGGAAGCGAGGAAGGGAAGCTAGCAGCCCTGACGGTGTCGTGCTTCCTTGCGGTGCTCCTAGCGTTGGGAGGAGGGCGAATGAGCGTGGGGGTTTCCTTTTGCAACTGGGGATGGCAACAGTGTGGGCTTGGTAGTGAATTGGGTTCTCCTATGCATAAAACTGGGCCGTGGTCATCTAGAGAATAGTACAAAGGAACTACAGATCAAAGCCATTGAAATTTGAAGTGACGTGGCTTAACCTCAAGCTAGGAAAATCCTGTTAACTACATTAAGTGGGGAGCACTGGTATAGTATTATAGGATTAAATGTACTAAAATATCCATCTTTTTTATGACATTTGTTTCATTTTCACCTTTCTCATGTAGTAAAGTTTCCTTTTTATAAATGTTAAGAGTCGATGTTAACCCTTGATATATATTGATGTTCCGATCTACTTTCCCCTCTCACTCTTCCATGTCAATAAACTTATTAATGACTCTAAGAGTTTGTATTAATTGTTGACTGTTGTTATACATGCCCTAACGAACCCATATAATGCATAGTCTCTTACAGTTCAAAGTTCAAGAGAACATAGATTTATCAGCCGGGAAAGGAAATAAAGAGCAAAAATAGGCTTGTTATTAATTAGTTGCTTCCAAAAATACCATTTTATTATGGACCATGCATGCCCATTATGTACTTCATGCATCGCAAAATCTATTTCGAGAGGCATCTCGATTTAGACTTAACGAGCGACACGGACAGTTACGTGGGAAGTACTAGTAGCGTTACAGACATGCATGCAAGTAGTTTTTGCTATTAGGTTGTGCATATTTTTTTCTTCTTATGAAATTTTCTCTTAAATTACTTATCCGATCTATAATCCGATTACACCGTTGTGGTCGTAACCATTAAATCTTTACAACAAGATCTCACATGATTATATTTTGATGAAAAATCACAAATTACTTTTATGATATATCTAAATTACTTTTAGATTTCACTAAGTTACTTTTTAGACATACAAAAGTAAATTCAGTAAAGCCTAAAAGTAATTTACATATATTATAGAAGTAACTTAGAACAAAATGAATGTAACTTTGGCATGTCATTTGAAGTAAATCCGTTGTAGAGATAAAAACATGACTCTATCTAGAAATTAAATTAATCAGCACAAATTATGGAATTAACTAAAAACAATAATAAAACTAATCACCTAAATTAATCAGCACAAATTATGGAATTAACTAAAAACAATAATAAAACTAATCACCTCATAGCATTATGAATGTATAGGAAGTATTTTAATCAAATCAAAAAGTAACTTATATATATGATAATTATATATATGATAACTTGTTCAATGAAAAAAGGTATTAATTAAAGTTACTTTCTTTTTTTATAAGTTACTTCTATAGTATATGTAAATTACTTTTAAGCTTTACTGAATTTACTTTTGTATATCTAAGAAGTAACTTAGTAAAATCTAAAAGTAATTTAGACATATCATAAAAGTAATTTGTGATTTTTCATCAAAATATAATCATGTGAGATCTTGTTGTAAAGATTTAATTATTACGAACACAACGATATAATCGGATCGTAGATTAGATAAGTAGTTTAAGAGAAAATTGTATTTGAAACATAGGTGGATGGTGTCTCTTATAGATGGAGTGGAAACCAGCTACCACTAGCTGTGTAGTCTCGTCCTTCATGCATGTTTGCACAATCCTGTGACTTGCACAACAATATAATGTCTCACGTAAATTAGGAACAAATATATTACCATTGTGTAATAATATTTCCATGTTTACAAATTACAAGATCATAGTCGTGGCCAAGTTTTAAGTCAGCAACATATGCATACATGCATACGGTCACCCCCAATGTCACATACGTCTCCATCTTGTACTCATAGTACATACGTAGACGCAGGCTGTGGTGGGCAGGGTCGCCGGCGTGGCTTCCCGCGCCGCCGTGCGAGCGGCGGCCGGCGACGAGCTCTCGTGACCGTCACCGGTGGGATCACGGTGACGGACTTGCTGGTGGCGATGACGGAGGAGGTGGCCGTGGCGCCCCTCCCGCCGGCGGAGGCGCCGGCCATCAGCCACACGGCGGCGGCGTTGAGCGGCAAGGCCGTCTTCGTCGGCGCCGTCGTGGTCGGATGCCACATCGCTCACGCGGTCGAGCGGCGCCGCTACTGGCGTCGCCATCGTGACAGCGACGGTGTGTACGCGGCGGCGCGGTCGCTCGCCGCCGGCGACGTGGCGGCGTGGCTTCGCGCGTGGGAGGCGGACAGGATTAACCCACGCGACTAACAGAGATTATTACAAGTAATGGTTTATACTTACATCAGTACCTATGTTACTAAGCATTGAAGTAAGATAGAAGGCGATGTCCTTTTCTTTTCCCAAATTTCAAATTAGAGTATAGTTGTTTTCATTCATTTTCCTCTCAGAGAAAAAGGGACAAAACATCACAGTTATTTCATCTGAACAGGCAACATTAACATGATAAATGTACATGTTTGTACATACGAGTAAGCTCCAACAAGGACTTTGTCAGGTACACAGATTGTTCTGATCTATGTGTGGCTTTCATCAATTTATAAATGTAGTAAGGGTGTACTTTGCAGCTGCTTGTATTATGTCCTAAGCATATCTTGGGGAAACAAATCTCTAAAGTGAACAAAAGTGAAATCAGCAAGACTTGCGTTCCAGACAAATTAAGTAAAACACTTTACCTTTTTTTTCACATTGGTGACTTTGCATCAAGAATAAGCACAAACACAAACGAGATAGAAATATAGAATGCAAAATAAAATTCATCCTCTCCATTTATAGGGAGAACAACGCTAACAGATAGAAACGGTGTCGTTATACGCAGGAGATTACTCCTCTATTTACTTACAGGAAGAATAAGGCTACTAATTAAACAGAAAACTACAGCAGGTTCAACAAAAGGGTGCAAATATTTCAAGAAAACATATCTACTACAAGGCAAACATGAAAAGACTAGGCCCCTAAACGCAACTACTATTGATGCAGAGATGTTTTATGGTGATTGGAGATACTAGAAGTAATCAAGTAAAGAGGTATAAATACCTCCAATATCTTCTAACCACAGCAAAACATCTCACCAGATGGTAACTGATAAACAGCGATTAGGATGGAGAGGTCGTCATGTCCACACTGTACGAGGACTCGTCAGCGCTGCAATAGCCGGCATCGCTGTTCTTCACGTCATCCCATCTCAGCACCTCCCGGATGTACCTGAAGGCGTCGTCGACGGTTCGCCGCTCCAGCGCCTTCGTCTGGAACACAAACAGCTTCCGGCCATCAGCGACGGAGGAGTAGAGGTCCTTAAACTTCACGGCGACGTAGTAGTAGGCGTGGCTGGCCAGCGATGTCTGGCTGGTGTGGTGAGGCCTGACGGGGCTGAAGTCAGCGAACCACTCGCACACTGTCAGTGGCACCCTACTGATCTTCTCCTCGAAGGCGTCGTACTTGTTGAGGAGGAGTACACAGGGGGTGTCCTCAAAGGAAGGGTGCCTGATCACATCCTCAAACAAATCCCGGCTGGCGATCATCTTGTTGCAGGGTTCTCCTGAGCTCTGCACCCATGTTTGGTCGTAGTCCGCAAGCGAGATGCAGAAGATTATGGCACGGATGTCCTCCAGCATCCCGAGGCACTTGAAGCCTCCAGTTAGCCCCTTGGAGTTCATGCGGATCAGTTGATACCTGCAGAAGTGCAGAGATGTAACAGAAATGCGGTTCACATCCATGAACTACCATTCAGATTTGCTGGACTTGGTTAATGCAATGATCGATCGATCAGATAGTCTGAAAAATCTTACTTTGTTTGTATGGCTGGATTGCCAGCTTTGTCAGCGTATGAGTCAGAGAGGGGACCTCGGTCATCAAGCGAGAATTCAAGTGTAGAGAGGCCATTCCATTGGTTTACACCCTCTGCATACAAGATATCTGTCTCGGTTGGTTCATATTCATTGCTGGATATTTCAACCACCTGCAAACATATGCAAAAAATCCAGTCAGGGCAGTTGACTACAATCTCCTGCCTTGATAAATTTGCAACTAAAGAAATAATATTGAATTGTGAGTTGCGACAGAAGAGCGTTGGTTAGAGCCGATTACAGAAGCAACAAAGAAAATTGTGCATGTTTATTATAGGACCAAAGCATTTCTTATTACAAGGCTGGATGCAACTTAAGCAATTGCTCCCTAATCACTAACGATAAGCTCAAAAGCAGAGAGAACTCCATTCAAGCTTATCTAGCAAGACCAAAGTCAGATGATCTGTAATAGTTAGACACCATTTACAATCAAGAAACATCCATATAATCATAATCTGTATGCACATCATAAATTGGAGGGACGCTAGATATCTTCTCTTTTTCCTTCAATACATTAAGCCAACATGTAATTTATATATTTTAGAGAGCAGCTAGATTGTAGTTAAGTAAAAAAAGATAATGTTTTATCAGGAATTATGAATAATTCAGCAGAAAATACGTTATTGTTACTCAGGTCAACAAAACAGTTTAAACAACATGAATGGTTAGGTGGTCAATGAAGAAAAAGAAAATCAGGGCTATAGTTTAGTTGGAAAACTAAAACTAATCTGGCTCTTGTGTTAGGAGCACATCTATTTGTGATAGTTACAAGTAGTCGAGTGCTTACGCAATGAAGAATGGCATGTGTTAAAGAGACAGAAATGTAAATTCACACAAAGAAGATAGTAACAAACTGTTGATATGAACAATGTCAGTTATAAAATGTTGAGCACCGAAAAAGTGGACAACAGTAGCATATCATAAAATCAATCTTACCCTATCAAGAAAATAACTGGCGACATCAGGAAGAAAGTGCAACTCATTTTTCCTTTTATATGTGGCTTGAATAGCTGGATCTTTCCAAACCTCTTCAACGATAGGTGCATACTCGCGAGTTGCAGCAGGAAAAAAGGCATCAAGGTTACCCAGGGCAACTATCTCCAGCAACCAATTAGCAAAGTGCATCAATCTTTGATTTAGTGAATACAAAGATGACGTGCTCTGCACTGCCTTCGGTTCCCCTGTTGGAAGTTCACATTCTGTAACATTTTCTGAATTTCAAAAAACATTTGGCAACATGCACAGGAATAGAAGAACAATAATGTTGTCACTGTTTATTTTATTAAGTAATAAATAGCCAGTACAACTAACATGGCCCACTGTTTCATAAAACAAGAGCAAGTTTTCATGGCCTCAAAATCTCTAACCCAGTCCAGCATCAGTTTACAGAAATTGATGTGTCTAGACAATTTGGTGGTCCAATATATCTAACAGGGCATTACATACTAGTCAATAAGTAATGAAAAGTTTGCTGCAGTTTTTCAGGTAAATATGCCTTGAAAAGCTAATAACAATTTGAATATCGTGTTTTTTCTATAGAAATCAAAGAGTACCCTTTGTGGTAACCGGTAAAAACAGAAAAGTCAAAGAAAATGGCACTTCATAGTATATTCCCTGAAAAGTCGGTTCAGCATTTCTGATGTCTTTCGAATTTTATTAAGTGAAGAAGAATTTTATGCATGTGATATCTGTTGCATAACTAAAGAAATGAACATATGGCAAAATGAATTCACAGCAAAACTGAGCCAAATCGTTACCATCTCCCTTGTGATTACTCATGCCAAGCTCTTTTTCTTCCTCCAAAGCCTCGTCCTCAAAGCACTCCCGCCATTCAAGCAATGTGCTGAGGTATTTGTAAACATTGCTTTGTATCATGAGCTTCAAATTAAGTATTTCTTCTGGGGAGAATTCAGTTCCATACAAGAATTTTGCCTACAAAAGGAAGTACATACACAAAGCCACATATAGGATTAGCCCGTTCTTCATCTAAGACAAGATAAGACATATTTACTGTAAATATTAGTTGGACGTAGAACTTGACCACTATCCATTGAGAAATTTAGAGATATGCTTTTGGGGAAGCTTACAAGTAATTCTGGAATTCAAACAATTTCATTCAGATGATGGTCTCAGTACTAGAAAGTCAAACCTAAAGAAAGATTGTCCATTACTACTAAAAGTCCCTTAAAACTTGAGGATTAATACTTCTGAGCATATGTAAAATCCAAAACTACCAATAACATAATGTACTTGACAACCAAAGCTCTCACATTTGCACATTAGCAAGGGAATAGACATTATCATCATCCCATCTTAATGCTTTTTGAATAAAATTTCACATAAAAATGCTTTGTTCTAAGCTATGTTCTCTGAGCAATAATATGGCAAAACTAATACAATTGGCAATAGACATGGTAAATATAGGCAAGTAAAAACAAACACCTGCTTAAAGATTGTGCTGGATCCAGAGCCTTCTAGTCCAACCAATAAAAGTTTCTGAACTTTTTTCTGCTCAAGGTATTCTGGAACAAACCTACTTGAGTACAAAGTAGTATCTTCTTTCAAACCACGGGGGATTGGCAGTGAGAAAAGGGTAGCAATAAGACGGGTTGATGCCTGGCTGACCAAAGTAAATGCAACATATTACTCAGCTGATTTACATACATATCTCCAACCAGAAAATTTTTCAGAAAACAGATATACCTTTTGCCAAATATTTCCTTTTATTATGTTCTGGCCCTCCTCCTCGTACGAGCCATCATCATACAACCAGAAATGAGTATTTCGTGGGCACTGTACATTGGCCAACTGAAGGAAAAGCCAGTAAAAACTCTGATCAAGATCTTGAAGAGGTGATGAATGATCCCCTAAAAAGTTAAGTTGCCCTTTTAGATTCAACAGCAGGAAAAGGATTAATCCGCTAAGCATACATACTAATGTGAGATCAAACTTTAAAACTCTGTCCAGTAGAAGAGTAGAACATAACAATGAAATAGATGGGTTTGTATGCAGTACAATTTAAAATGGAAACAAAGTCCAATAGAAAGCTGTACGTTATTTTAGATTCACAATCCTTATCCCAAATGCTATATATAGTAGCATCAATCACCCACCAAGGCAACAATAAAAAATATGCTAATATATCACCAAGAGAAATGTGTTATCAGGCTCCTGTATCAACCTCTCAGGGGAATTCCTGAGATAAACCAAATGCATACAGACAAAACTTACCAAGGAAAATCAAAGATTAAACTATTGGCCAAAAAAAATTTTGTCGGGCTACCTTCCTAGTTTAAATAAAAGAGTGGAGCAACCTCTATGTTCTCATCAAAGCTACCGTGTAGAATGGATCAGAGAGCACATGGGCTTGACTCTACCCAAATATTACCTTAAGCATCCTAAGTTCGGTCTTTGTGATCTCCCGCCCATTTATGAACACCTGTGTAGTGCCATTGCTAGCATCTGTTTGTAGTTTCCCACCAATGCTCAGCTTTGAACTAACAATCCTATCTGGCCTCTCGCCTTCCTGATACCAGATGTTCCGTTAAATATATAACCAGATACTGCTAAGTTGAACATGAGGAAGTTGCAGGACAATGTAACCATTCACGGAGATATGAAGGATAACACCATATGCTAGTGAAACATTATTGCTCTTAGGAGCAAACGTTGATTATTTGCTTCTCCATTAATGGAAACACTTGAAGACGTCGAACACACCTGTCTAATAAAAGAATTACTAAACAAAACATACATCCGTTCTTTCATTCTTTTAAAAAAAAGCACAGTTGAGTTTCTGAATTAGAATAATGGCTAAAGATTCTGTAGTAATGCTTGGTGTCCATAACAATTATAGTTGTGACTCCAGATTAAAAAAATGTCATTGTTAGATATTGTCGTTTGACTTAGTCAAATGTGGCAGAAGAAGAAAACCAATATAATGCAGCTAGGTAGCAAGCCTCCAAAGACTATCTGATTATGAACAAAAACAAACCATATACAGGAGACTTTTCTAAAAGAGAACAAAAATAAACACTACTTTTTCTATTCACACCACATTCCTACGCTTCAGCATTTTCCCTAAAAATTCATGTATTCAACATCTGATTCTACTAATAGATTAGAATGAGAAATGCAAAATGTAGCTGTAGACTAGAGAATGCCATTGCAGCCAGCTCTTACCTTGCCCCAGAGCCCAGAGTCCTTGTCGTACCAGTAGCGGCCGGCAGCGAGGCGCTCCGGCGGCACGGCGCAGCCGAGCAGCAGATCCAGCTCCCCCTGCGAGAGGCCGCGGCCGTTGACGAGGATCTCGCCCGGCCGCACCTGGTTCGCGGCGCACCCGCGCTCGGCGCGCATCACCTGGCGCACCTCCGCCGGCGCGAGCAGCCGCGCGAGAAGCCGCGACCCCTTCCCCAGCCTCGCCCGCCGCCGCGCGTCCGCCACGGGGCGGCCGATGCAGCCGACGCACTTGCGGCCCTCCGGCATGGACCCCATCGCCCGGAGCACGCACCCGGCGCAGTACCGCGCCCCGCATGCCAGGCACTCCTCCCTCTCCCCGAGTATCCCCACCCCGATTCCCCCCTTCCCGCACCTCGCGCACGCCCCCCGCCGCTTGCTTCCCTGGTTCAATGGCGCCTCCGGCGGCGGCGGAGGAGGAGGAGGAGCAGGGGGTGACGAGGAGGAGCAACGCGGAGGGGAGGACGCCGGGGACGTGGCGTCCGGGGAGGAAGAAGGCGGCGAGGGCTCGCACTGAAGAGGAGGAGGAGGAGGAGGTGAGTGGCGGCGACGAGGCGGCGACGGGCGGAGGAGGCGGGAGATGCGGCGGCGGTGGCGCGCGAGGGGTGGCAGCGGCGGGCCGTCCGCGGAGGAGCGTGGCGGCGGGCGTCGTTCCGCGGCGGGGCCGGCCACGTCGACGGAGACGAAGGAGTAGTCCAGCTGCTCCTCGTCCGGGACCGGCGCGCCCGCGGGAAGCAGCTTGCGGAGCGCGCGTGCCCACGCCGTCTCCGCCGGCGGCTGCGCCGAGGGAGGGTCAGGCGGCGGCGGCGGGGGCGGCGGGGGCGGCGGAGCGGGAGGTGAGGACGCCATTGATGGCGAGGTCGCGAAGCTAGCAGCAATGGCGGTGGTGGAGAAGACGAGGAGTTTGAAATGGGTTTATGTACAGCGACGGGGATCCTGATACCCCGTCGCCGACATGTGGGCCCCACGCGAGTTATTACCGGGCGATTGATTTTAGATTTACGGATGACGGGGACGTCTCGCTGCGTTGCGTGTGGGACCCGATTTAGTCGCTGGCTGGTGGGGCCAAGCCGTCGGGGAGGAGCAGAGGGTGTCTCAGTCACTGGCGTGTGGGGCCTGTCTTAGGTGGGGCCTGGTTGTCCGTGAGTAGGCATGTGGGGACACGCACGCATGGGGTGGCAGGGAGGAGGGGAGTAAAACTATGGGATGGATGGGGTTGGGAATTTAGGAGGAATGGATGGGGAATCCAACGTTGTTTGGTACCACAGCAGTTGCAGCAGCCAAATGGTGGGCCCCACTGCCTTTATAACACCGTAAAAAAAATCTACACAACTTTATGTAATTTCTCTTTTTTGCACATATAGGCATATAGCCATTGGTAAGTTTGTTGGTTAATTCGATACTATGTGCCATTATAAGGCAGTGTTCAAGTGGGAAAGATAAAGTGAGAAAATTCCACGTTTTTTGAACTAATACATGATGTGTTTTTAATAAAAAGTTATAAGAATGTTACTTTCAAAAGTTATACTCCCCCGTCGCATAATATAAGGGATTTTGAGTTTTTACTTGTAACGATTGACCACTCGTCTTATTCAAAATTTTTTGAAATTATTTTTTATTTTATTTGTGACTTGCTTTATTATCTACAGTATTTTAAGCAGAACTTTACGTTTTTTATATTTGCAAAAAAAATTTGAATAAGACGAGTGGTCAAACATTGCAATAAAAAACTTAAAATCCCTTATATTGTGGGACGGAGGGAGTATTAATTTATTTTTCAAATTTAAAATAATCAATACTTAATTAATCATACGCTAATGGCTTATCTCGAGTTATGTATCTTCTCAATCTTTTCCATCCTCTTCTCTCAAACATAATCTTAGTTTATCTGTTTTGAAAAATATCATTACTATTTAACTATATGTGATTATAATTTAGCAGGAATTTAAGATGTACCTCTACTTATCCTCCTTTGATACATTTTTCTAGATTTGTTGTTGATTGCGACTTTATTGTATGAGCGAAATCAGAAGCTGACTTCATGTTAATAAGACTAATGGTGACATGTTAACTTGTTAGTGCTTTTCCCGATTTCGTAAGAATGAAAATTACGAAGGGATCACTATCAAATGGGCCTTGAATCTTGATTTCAACAAAGCCGGACGCGCCCATATCATCGGAGGCAACTAACTAAAGTAGGGAAGATCAGCCCATAGTAGACAAAACTGATGCGTTGTTGTGAAAGTTTAGTAATCCCTCCGTATTTTAATGTATGACGCCGTTGACTTTTTGATAAACGTTTGACCTTTCGTCTTATTCAAAAAACTTATATAATTATTATTTATTTTATTGTAACTTCATTTATCATCAAATATTCTTTAAGTATGACATAAGTATTTTTATATTTATATAAAAAAATAAATAAGACGAATGGTCAAACGTTGATTAAAAAGTCAACGGCGTCATATATTAAAATACGGAGGGAGTATATATTAACCAGCTTTGCATCCCTAAGCCTAACTAAGCAACATGGACATGTCATTATCCTTCTCTCGTCTCTGTACGGAGAGACTAGGTGATTTTGTCAAGGTAGTGATATAGCGCCTATTGATTGACGTATAATATACCCGACTTGTACCGACTATTATCTTGTACAATTGCCGCCAATTTGTTCGGAGCCTCAAATATGATGCCTATATACCCCTCCGTACTCGTAAAGGAAGTCGTTTAAGACCATGCTTAAATCAAACCTTAGGAATATAAATCATGAATAACTCTCAAGTTGTTGAGTTTGAAAATGTAAAAATTATATGAATGGATCTGTCTTGAAAAATACTTTCATAAAAGTATGCATATATCACTTTGCAATAAATATTTTTATAGAAATAAGAAGTCAAAGTTGTGTTTTGGAGACCGTATCGCTGTCCAAAACGACTTCCTTTATAAGTACGGAGGGAGTATATGGTAAGTTACTGCAATTATTATGTTCCATTAATATCTCTCATAGTTTGTTTGATGTTTTATCAGCCACAACTAAAATTTAAAATTTAAAGTTAATCTTAGTTGTTTTGGGTTTTTTTATCGTAATCTACTTTGCAGCATTGGTTTTTTTATACCATGAACAATGCAAAAAAAATTGTCATTGCTTATTAGCCATAGCTTAACCAATCACAACCTAAGCGAGGATAGTTTTGTATGAATTTTTGTGTTGGCTAGATTCTAGAGATTAGGTACAAAATTCACTACTATAAAAAGTTATTTTTATGCGGTCAAAATCCATTTTTTCCGTGCGGTTTGGTCACCCATCTACCCAAAAGTGTCTGAAAAATTACTATTTTTTCCATGCGGATGCTTATATTGTCCGCACACGAAAATAAAAATCACGAAAAGAATTCCAAAAATCCCATCGTCGTCGCCGCCTTCACTATCGCTATCACCGAGGCCACCATCGCCCTTCCGTCCGCCGGATCTGCCACCGCTGCTGTCGGTGACATGGGACCGGGAGTATCATGACTAGAGGCTTGGGCAGCCGCGGTCACCCACGTGGCCTGACCCCCTCGGGGGGGTCGGGCCCGAGGGAGACGTGGCCACCCCCTCCTCTGTCTCCCCGAGGGGTCGGGCCGCTCCTGTTTCGGCCCCGAGGGCTGGGGCACCCCGACCCCCTGTGGTATTGGCGCCACGTGTGTGGGTTAGGTGGGCACAGCGGTGCTCACCAAACCACATTTATTGCGGAATGGACAAGTGCGCCACGCCGCATTTAATGCAGCACGGCGTACGCATATCCGGTCCGTGACCGGTCGCAGTGTGTGACCGGTCACAGACTGGTCAGATCGCGGGTTAGGTGGCAGCAGGCGGCCTGTCACACGCCTCGCCCCGTCCCGTCGGAATGATGAGAGCCTCTTGGCACTCGTCCCTAGCTGGAGCCGGCGTGGTAACTCCTGGAGTTAGCACGTCAGTCCCGGCTCGATTCATGCCAGGCTTCATCGCAACCATTGCAAGGAAGTCACTGTATGAAGAAGGGCAGATGTGCGGCATGCTAAACTGAAGCGTGGTGGAGAAGAATGACCGGTCTGTGACTGGACTGACGCCAGTCACGTCATCGGCAGACAGCCGTGCTCCCACGTTGCATCTGTTTCCGGCGGAGTGGAGGAAGGTATGACCCATCCCATCGGAGGGTCATTCAGACAGCGGCCATTGCAGATTTCCGTCCATTAATGAAGAAATGACAGGGTGATCCCCTGTGTCCGACGAGTGACGGCGCTGGGCATCACTCAAGGACAAGCGGTGATTTAGCTTCCAGGCGGAGGCGCGAGTCGAGATTTGGTCAAGATAGGGTGGGTCCCCACCCAAAAGAAGAGTAGGTAGAAGTGGTGCATGTGGTATCCCCTTGAGATATAAAAGGAGGACCTTGCCCACAAAGAAAGGGGGACGACTCTAAGAAGACTTGAGCTTGGGGAGGAGATCGAGAGAAAAAAGAACCAGAAGAGAAGGAAAAAGAGGGGTTCTAGAGCTTGAACTCTCTTGCTCTCCGGCTCTCTGTAACTCTTTCTCACACATATCCACCAGAACACAGGAGTAGGGTATTACGCTTCTCAGCGGCCCGAACCTGTCTACATCACCCGTGTCTCGTGCGTTTGCTCTCTCGCGTATATTCCACAGATCGAGGGTGAAGAACCTCACTCAGCGCCCCCGGCCGAACCGGCAAAGGGGGGCCTGCGCGGTCTCCCGGTGAGGAGCCCCACGCTCCGTCAGCTGCCGTCCCTACTTACTCAAATATAATAAACCAATGGATAGTAGGAACCAATGGATAGTAGGGTAGCGTGGATAAAGATTTTTGTCTCAAATATAATAACTTAGTAGGGGTAGTATTTTATAAAAGATTGTTTTTACTGCTAAATTATACACGCTACCCCTACTATCCATTGGTTTATTATAGTCCTAATTAGTCCGGGTTTATACACCACCCATCCATAGAAGATAACTAAGTTTATTTAACCATGTCCTGTCTAACCATGTTGAAGGATAAAGCTTGGCTATATTTTAGAATAGAGAGAATAGGTAAAATCATTATTTATATATTTATTTGGCTGATAAATTTTGATTGAACATTAAAAAAACTTTAAAATTAATAAATATGATTTTTAAAGCAATTTTCTTATAATTCGTTTTTTCACAAAACACGTTGTTTAGTGGCTTCGAAATCTTGCACGGGAAAAACAATGAAGGTAAAGTTAGGATCGTTGACTTAAGGAAACAGTCTAATGATAGAACTAAGGGAAAAGTGCACCGAAGGTCCCTCAACTTGTCATCGAATTACAAAATCGTTCTCTAACCACAAAACCAGATATATAACATCCCTTAACTTACAAAACTGTTCGCTTTACATATTTTGATGGTTTTGACTCTACTTTTGTCTGACATGGCAGGTGAGTCAGCGTGAGACCCACGTGGGCCCCAAATGTCAGTACGCCACGTCGTCGGGTTCTTTCCTTCCCCTCCTCTCCCTTTCTCACACTCATCTCCCTGGCCGGCAGCAGGCCAGCTGTGGGGAGGAGGTCGCGGGACGAGGAGGTCCGACGGCCGGCCGGCGATGCGGCGGCGGGAGCACGGGGGAGATCGAGCACGGCGGCGGGCAGAGTGGGGCGACGGCGAGGCGGAGCGGCACCGCACGAAGCCGGCTCATGTCTGCCATAGCGTCGACGAACGACGCCGTCGTCGCGAGGAAGGAGGAGGCGGGGGGAAGCGGGCGGCGGTGGAGGAGCTCCGGCGTCGCTTTGACCGCGGGCGCTACGAGCTGCGTCGGCGGCGGTCGGAGGTCGCTGCGGCAATGGAGGAGCTGCGCGCGTCCTCCTCCTCCTCGAACCTGTCGCCGCCGTCGTCGTCGTCGTCCGCGGGCGCCCCACCCCGCTCCGTGCCGCGGGTTTCGTGCGCCACCGCCTTGCCGGCCCTCTCCGCCTGCCGCCGCCTCGGTGTCGGTTCCCAAATCATGGCGCAACTGAGGTTCGCGGTACTGGCTGTTCCGTCGTCAATAGCGAGCCTAACAAGGTGGCGGCGTGGCCGGTTGGAGGACGAACTCTGGTTGGAGGGCGCCATCAGATGCGGGCCGCTTCGGCTCGATGAGGCGCTCTGGAGCAGATTATCTATCTTGTCGGTAATCTAGTGGCTGCATCTGATTGCATCGACTGTTCAATCTGATTACTTCGTGTATTTCCCCTAACTCTCTCTTAATTATTTTTCTTTCGTCAGAGCAGATAGTAGTGCCAAGCCATGAAAATTACTAGATCAACATACAAAATTGTGCTTCAATAGAATTTTAACTAGGATGATTTCTTGATTTTGTTGTAGACACAGCCCTTCTCATATGGATCAATAGGCAACATGACTACATGAATCAACCATCCCTTTAAAAAAGTACTGCATGAGTGAAGTCACATATCGCTGCTTTCGAGTTGGAGAACAAATCTCGCCGTCGCCGACGCGTACACCTCCCGGCTCATGATCACCCATGACGTCGACGGCGGCGGAGGAGGAGGAGGCGCCATTCGAGCTCGCTCAGACGACGCCGTACGGCTGCTTGGTGCGTCGCCATCGCCAGCCCGCGCACCGCCGACTTCTACGGTCTCTACACCTCGCGCACAGCCTCCAGGACGAGTCCGGCGGCGCTGTGCCACGACGGGGCAACGAGGATGCGGACGGCGGTGTTTCCTCCGCCGGCCGCCGTACCTCCTCCTCTCCCCACGGCGGCCTCCTCCCCACAGCGCCGCCCGTCGCCGGCCTGAGTAAAGAGAGAGCGCGAGAAAGATCGAAGAGGGGAAATAAGAGAGAGGTGATGAGGTGGCATCTTACACGTGGGTACTACGATCAGCCGTCATGTCAGACAAAACCGGGGTGAAAACCGAGCATGTTGTGATTGAGGGACGATTTTGTAACTTGATGATAAGTTGAGGGACCTTCGGTGTACTTTTTCCTAGAACTAAAGGATAGAACCTGCATACATGATCGTTGTGGGCCAAAAGGCCCAATATGTTGGGGTTCTCCATCGTATATATGGCCCAATGAAGAGAGTGCAATGAATGCTGCTCGATCTGGCCTTCCGGCCTGTCAGTAGTCAGTACCTGCACTCCTTAATTTTCATCAGGTTTCAATGCACTAAAGAAAATGGTACACGTAATTAAGATTTCTTACAAACCTTTTTATCAACAGTCACTCAAACATGCTACTCCTAACTAGGAGTAGTTAATTAGATAGATCCCAATTTATTACTCCCCTCGCCTTTGCAGTACATATCACTTAGTGTATCTTATTCACCTCCATCGGTAGCCCACATTCTCTAATAAGTCAAAACGGTTTATTAGAGAAAGAAAAATAATTTGTATGTAATATTTTTATATATACTCCCTCCCTCGTATAGAAAAAAAACGTCGTTCTAGCCATAACCTCGTTTGCGATTTAAACGACGTTCTGAACCGCAGCAGGCTATGTGGACGGAATTACCCTCGTCTATTCGATAGCCGCTCCCGCAATTAATCCGCAGCACGCCCGCGCTCGCCTCATTTAATTCCTTAAGCGTCGCATGCAGGCATGCAGCACGCCGCTCAACCTCGCCGCCGCCGCTTGCGTCAAGCTCGCCGGCCCTGCTCTCGTCGCTCTCGCCGCCGCTGCCACTTGCGTCGCGCTCGCCGGCCGCACTCTCGTCACGCTCGCCGCCGCTGCTCTCGTCGCACTCGCCACCACCGCCGCTTGCATCGTGCTCGCCGGCCCCGCTCTCGTCGCGGTCGCCGCCGCCGTCGCGCCGCTCGTTGCGCCCGCTCACCTCGTTTCTATTCTTAAGCCACACGACGCTCGCCGCTCACACTCACGCTCGCCGCCGCCGCTCTCGTCGCGCTCACCGCTCACGCTCGCAAAGCCATGGAGGTGGTGCCAGACTCGAAGATGGAGGTAGCGCTGGTCTTGTCGGAGGTGTTGCCGGACTCGGAGATGTTGCTTCCACCGGACTTCGCCTCGTCGGAGTTGGCACTGCCAGACGCAGAGATGGCGCCGGACTCGGAGATGGTGCCGGACTCTTTGCCGCCGGACTCGGAGATGGTGCCGGATTCCTTGCCGCCGGGCGCTTTTCTATGCGCTCGCTGCCATCTCGTCCATGAGGACCGCCAAGCATGGAATCGTGCGCACTCGTCACTGTGGCCGTGCTCTCGCTGCGGTCTCGTCCACGCGGAATACATAATCGGTGCCATGATTTACGGCCTCGACGAGTTCGACTGCGAGCTTTTCATTCCCGATCTAGACAATGTTGTGATGCACGGCAATAGTATCGAGTTACCTACACACGTGCTCAAGATGCTCGACGAGAAGCGCGAACATGAGCTCGCTGCTGGAAAGGATGATGCCAAAGCAACGGTAAGATAACACAACTAATCGCATTACAATGATGTCTCTATTAATTGAGTGCATAAGCTAACTAGCTAGCTTCATTCTAAATGTTTGATGCAGCAAGAGTAGCCTCGGCTTCATCTAGCAAAGATGGTTGACAATGGATAGAAGTTGGTAGCCGATCTTCTCTTTCTAATGTTCCTTTTTTCATGTGAGGAATCTTGAAGTTGTTGCTTCCTTTCACCTTCATAGCTTCCTTCAAAACACTTTGAAGTGTTAGAAACATTCGGTTTGCTTTGTGTGGAGAATACTCCATGAATGCCTACAAAACAAGTGTGCAAGAAATGAATCAATGAGAATATTGCATGTTAAAGAAGATGAAAAATGTGTGAACATTTCGATCAATTTACCTCTTGAACCGTTGGAATTAGTGCCTCTACTGTTTTTGCATTCTTCTTGTATTGAATTGCTTGAATGGCTTAAAAAAAACCCAAGTCAAGAATGTTGAAATCCGGAGAATTGGGTGGTTGACAAATTAGGCGAATATCAAATCCTTCTTGCTTACCAGCCTCACAAAACAACAGATCATCCAATTTTAAATGGGAAGGTGCATTATCCTGTTGAATGAAGATTGGTTTGCCCGCATCTTCTCTTGGCCGTTTGGCTCTAATGGCAGGCAACACTTTGTTGATCATGAAATCTCTAATCACGTCTCTTGTGATCGAAGTTATGGGCTTCATAACCAAGTCTCCACGGACACGGCCGGTTCTCTCATTACCTCTTCTAGCCGGTTCATAAGTAACAAGTGGAAAACAACCAATCTTACCATCAAAAATGCAATTCCCATCCCTAAACCTTGGCCGAGCACAAACACACAAGAACATGAGCCTAGGGATGTAATTCTTGTTCTTACAAGTCCGATGGGGATCATCTTCTTTGGGCAACAAATAATATTTTTCAGATTTTTTATGGAGGTAGAACCATTTTTCATCGATGAACACAAAGTCAAAAAAAATCCTTAAACCTTGGATCAACAAGCAAACCCCTCCTAATCATGTCAACACACCACTTTAACCTAGACTTCTTGTTAGCTTCGGTGAAATATGGTTTGATGCTACTAGAGTGGCGCCTAAGCAAACCTTTTTTCAAATACCTTTGTATCCTCCATTTGCTCATGTTTAATTTACTACACACATCTTCTATGGTCATTCTATCCTTGATAGGAATGTTACGCAATTGTTCCAAATCAACAGGTATTGCCTTACGACCAACTCTACCCTTCTTTCGACTGCCAAGGTCAACCGGAATGAAATTTGCAAGTGGTATTTTACCTCGCTTCCACAGGCGCTGAACTGCACGAATGTGTAGACCAAACTGATCTGCAACAACTCTTGTATCTTTCTTGCCTAGTTTCCCATTCTTGCTTCTAGCCAACAAAGCTTGATAAACTTGTTTTCTCACTTCTTCGGTCATGTCTTTCCTTCGATGGTTTACTTCAATGGGAGCCACGACATGTTCTAGCAAAAGGAAGAAAATCAAGTTCATTGATAGTACAAATAGCCATGGCATGTTCTAGCAAAATCTAATTGTATCAAAAAGCAAGTTGGCTTACCAGCGAGGTGTTGTACATAATCGAAATCGACTACACCAAATTCATTTAGTGGCAAGTTCAAATCAAAACCTGTAAAAAAAAGGAAAACAATGATATGCGAAACGATAGAGAAGAAGAGATAGCACAGTTGCCATACAAACATGCACGAGAGAAGAAAAATCCTGTCAAACAGAGAAGAAAAGTACCGTTGCCGTGCTCCAACGGAGGCTCGTTCAGATCAAAGGCAAACTCGCCATCGCCATCTTTGGCCATGTGTACTGCAATAGTGAGAGGAAGCTAGCTAGAAGCCTAGAACTAGAAGATGAGATGGCTCAGTACTCCAAACGTGAAAGCAAGTTAGCGTATAAATACGGGCAAGCAGTAACCCAAGCGTCGGCATTCTCAGCACGCGCGCGCAAAAAAATTACCACGGCATACACGCGCGAATAGCGGTAACGAGCGCCAGGCAAAAATATTTCAGCATCACGCGCGGCAGTGAACCCAAACTAAAAAAGCGAAACAAAAAAACGCGCCTAAACGCCCCTGCACGAGCGCCATGCAGCCAACCAAGTATCTAACCCCGCCCAAAACAGTGCCATGCAAAACCAAGCAACCAGCTTGCCCCCACCAGGATTCGTACCTGGGTCCTGCGGAATCCAGCCTCGGCGCACTAGCCACTTGAGTAAAGTGTGTTTCTCGTATCGAATTCTACGCGCAACCGTATTTAATAGGGGCAGACAGGAAAAAATACCCATAATTAATCACTTTTTGGTATGCTAAATTTTGTCCTAAACGTCATTTTTTACCAGTATGGAGGGAGTATATTCTTAGTGTAGGATCATAAAGAGCATTTCCCACCCTAAAAGTTAGCCAATGAGGTGAGGGGCTCCCTCACTTATATACTATTACTTCCTCACTCCCAAATTGATCATCATAAGTTTATGCACCAAGACCAAGGATAATTTAAATCACATCAACCAAGACACCATGCACACATTCTCCCACAATGCATGCATCGATTAAAACCCAATACCAATTACACCCTAGCATGCACACATTCTCCCATACAGTATTAATTGTATTCCAATGAATTCGGTGTCTATGCAGTTATATGACGATCAATTTGAGAAATTTTGGATTCTATTACATGATGATCAATTTGGGAATGAAGAAGTAGGTCCCTTGCCCTTCCACAACCAATGTGGGACTATTCAACACTTAGCAACTTAAAAGTTAATATAAAAAATTGTGTTGAAAATATGTTAAAATTAACTTCAAAATTAAGTTTGAAAATTTAAATTTTGGTTTTGGCTTTGGCTTATTAATTAGGCAGCCTATTATGTTTTCAATTTTAACCATCAATAGCTTTAAAATGGTTAGATTACAACAAAAAAAAGTTGACTGCATTTAATTTGTAGTACTTGTGGTGCAACATATTTTATGATAGAATATTTTTATAATTTTTATATAAATATTGTGAGATTGATTGAAATTGATGAATATCAAAATTAAGTACATGCACGTAAGATTGAGTTTTAATTATTTTAAACTTAAAATAGATTTATTTGATATTTTAAAGAAACTTCTATATAGAAAATTTTTGCACAAAATAAACCGTTTAAAGTTTGAAAAACGTGCTAATGAAAATCAAGTTAAACATTTTCATCTTAAACGGTTTCAAACGGAGGGTGTGATATAGGTTGATAGGGGTAGGATAGGAAAGTAACAGAAAAGAAAATTAATCTTTTACAGCCGTAAATAGTTTGAGATAAAATTGAATTTTAAGTATAACTATATTTTAAAATAGAGTTATCAAAGTTTCAAGCGTACAAGACACGTATATATGATGACAACCATTTGAAAATAGATAAAATATTTGTATATATATTGCACGAGACTTGTAAAGTTTTATGTTAAAAAAAAAGAAGAAATAACGTGTACTTACATATCTACCGCTGCTCCAAAGGGGGGAGAGAGACCCGGGGGGGGGGGGGAGGGGAGTATGGTACGTTTAGCCATGCATATATTTCAATGGAGAAAAAGGAAAAGAGTAAAGTACACCGTCAGTACTTAAAGTTGGAACGGGGTGTCATTTAGGTCCATGATCTAGGAAAATCATTATTAGGATCCACGATCTTGTATAAGTGAATCATTTAGATCCAAAACACCTTTGACCGGACTAACCTGCTTACGTGGCCGTCCACGGTGGCAGCATTTTTACATTTTAGCCCCCCCTCCCCCCCCCCCCCCCGCATCTTGGCTCCCCCATTCCCGATCCAACCATTCTCCCCCAACTACTCCGAGGAAGGGTGGCGATTAGGGCGGAGTCGGCGATCGGGGTCAGGGTGGCCTGAGACGCGTTCTCGGCGGCGCGGGCACCGTCATCAGAGGCGTCGGAGGTGCGAGATGGACCTGACCTTGTGAGATGAAGGTGCACCTGCGCCTGTTTATAGTGAGTGTCGTCGTCATCATTTAATCCCTTTCATTTGGCAAGTTTAATATGTGATTGAGGTTTGGAAGTTTGTTTCTTCGAGAATTTTGGTCAGTGGCAGTTTTTTTTCTAGGGTTTCATCTAGCATGCAATTAGTTGATTTTGTGCTGGTAAAGGTGTGTTTTTTTACCAATTGTGATGTAATGTTGGGTTTAGTATGTTGTCTCATCCCAAATTTGTGTCGGCCGGTTTAGTTGATGTAATATAGTGCACAAATTCGGGATGAGACAACATACTAAGGGTGTGTTTGGATGGGAGGTTTTGGGTGGATAGGAGATGGCGGCCTATTTTTTTTGCCTGTTTGGTTGGTGGGCGGAAGTGGGATAGGGTGGCCCGAAGAGGAATATATCTCTCAGATGCTGGATGGGGGGATTCGAGTGATTTGCTCGGATGTAGCCGCCTGAGCACCCGAGCGAGCAGGGCGAGCGCCCGAGGCGGGTCGCTTCACCCCCTCACCGTGCGTCAGCGACAGCCATGGGTTGAGAGGCAAGAGCGGTGGCGGCGGAAGGCGAGGTCGGCGGCGACTGCAGCGGAAGCGGAAGGTGAGGTCAGCGGTGGCGGTGGGGAGGGGCGAGGTCGGCGGCGACGCGAGATGCGAACGCGGCGGTGGAAGGCGAGGTCAACCAGAGCGAGAGGCGAGCTCGGCAGCGACGGGGTGCGAGACCTTCTTTTCTTTTTTTTCTTTTTTCTCATTTTCTTTTTCCTTTTTTCTCTATGTGGATTTGTAGTATATATATAATTTGTGATTTGTTGGGGAATTTGTGATTCGTAGTA